AAATACAGCTACGACAACAAGAAATGAAAGAAAATTAAACATACACAATTATGGTAGGAAACATAATTCTTTCTCATCCTACTTAAGAATAATGTAATAGTTTTAGAAAAACTACATAGAGATGTGAATAATAAATAATACTCTTTATACATACGAATATATTTTTTAATACATGTATAAAACGAAATATTTCAAGCATACTAAAAGTCTAGAGGATAATACAGTGAGCATCCACATATTGGCACATTTTATCATTTTATCAAATTTCTGTAAAAATTTTGTCTTTTTAAAAGGCGAAACATGACAAATACAAATGAAGCCCTTCCTATGCTGCTAGATTCCACTGCCTTCTCGCTCTCTTCAGAAGTAAGCAGTATTATGGGTCTGTTGTAATTGTTTCCATGAATGTTTTCATGAATATATAAAAAAATATATCCATAATCTTTACATAATATTGTTTTGCATATTTTAAAACATTTTTAAAATGACAACAAACCGTATTATTACTCTACTGTTTTTTTTCATTCAACATTGTTTTTGAGAGTTCTTCATATTGATAAACGTGGCCCTTGTTCATTATTTTCTTTCCTGTGATAAGTACTCCATTGTATGACTAAACCACGACTTATTTATCCATTTTCTTGTTGGTAGATAATTCAGTGGTTTCCAATTTTTTACTATTAGCACCATTTATTAGATGATCCATCCTTTTCCCCCACTTCGATTTGTAATGCCACCCTTGTCAAGTACCAAGTTTCCATATGGGCATGGAAAGCATGTTCCCAGGCTTTCTATTCTGTTCCATTGATCTATTTGCTTATCTCTGTACCAAAACCAAACTGTCCTATACTATTTGGTAGGATGATTTTCTCCCACCACCTTATTCTTGAAAACTGTCTTGACTGTCATTGGCCCTTAACTTATTCATATAATTTTTAGTATGAACTAGTCACGTTCCATGAAAAATCCTGCTAACATTTTGATTGGAATTATACTGAATATAGATAGAGCAAAGAAAATTGATACCTTCATGAAAATGAGTATCCCCATCCAAGATGATATAATTCTCCATTTATTATCTCTCTCTCAATGTCCTTCAATAAAGTTTTATTAGTTTTTCCATAAAAGTCTTGCACATCCTTAATTTATTTTCAAGTAACTTATAGTTTTAAGTGCTATTGTAAATGCTTTCTTTTTTCAAAAAAAAAATCCATGTTCTAGATGTTTGTTATAGGTTTATAGGCATACAACAATTATTTTGTATACTTGTCTTATATCCAGAAATCTTTTAAAATAGTAGTTCCAACAGTTTGCTTGTTCTCATAAATTGATTTTGTTTCTTCCCTTCCAACCTAATACTAGCTATTTTTTCAGGTTTTACTTGCTTGTCTCCTAGGAAAATGTTATATAGAAGCAGTATTACCAGATATTCTTATCCTGTTCCAGACATTAAGAATTTACTTTTATCTGCTCTGTCTTTAAGAACAGTGCTTGCTATAGGGTTGGTATTTTTTTTTTTTTTGATGGATAATAACTCTATCAAATTAAGTTTCTTTCTAGATCTCATCTCTTTTTTATTCATTATAAATGGAGTTATTTTATTTTATCAAATGATTTTTCTGTATCTACTGAGATTATCATGTTTCTTTTTCAATTTGTTAATGTGATGAACAATATTAATATATTCTCTAACATTAACATTCTTGGTAAAAATTACTTGATTATGATGTATTTCAACGCATTGCTGTATTCAACTTGCTATTATTTCATTTAGACTATTTATATGTAATTTCACAAGTGACATTGACCTATAATTTTTCTTTCTTATACTTACTTCTTTGGTATTGGTCTCGAAGTACTTCATAAATGAATTGGGAAACATTTCCTCATTTTTATTCTCTTTCAGGGGTTTTATAAAGATTGAGTTTGGCTACTCCTTTGAGTGTACTCATCTCAAAGATCATGGAGCCTAGTAGTAATTTTTGGTTTGTTTGTTGGTTCTTTGGTGCATATATTTTAAACAACTAAATTAATTTCTTACTATTTATAAATCTATTCAAATTCTATATTTCATCTTGCTAGGTAGTTTTTGGTAAGCTATACTTTTCCAGAAATGTGTCCATTTTTTCAGAACAACCTCTGACTGTTCAATGTATTCTGATCTTTTAAACTTTTATTGTACCTATAGTTATTGTACTTTTTATTCCTAATATTATTTGCCGCTTCTCACTCTTTTCTTGCTCACTGTTGCCAGAAATGTCTATTTTATTAGTCCTTCCATAGAAGCTAGGAATTTATTGTCACAATACATCTCCGACAATATCAAAAAACATATACACGAGATTATCCATTCTTGCATTATTCATATTGGCAAAATACTGGATAAATTAGCTGGATAAATACTTAGAAAATTAGCTGGATAAATTATGGGACTTCTATATAGTATACTACTATGTAGCTATTAAAAAAAGAATAAGGAAGATCTCTATAAACTGATATACCGTGAAAAGGGAGACCTCTATAAACTGATATACCACGATTTCCAGGATATGTCATTAAGTGAAAAAACATTGTGCAAAAGTTTCCTATAGTATGTTACCTTTTATATAAGAAGGGGAACTATATTTACATTTGTTTATTTTTACAAAAGAAATAGGAAGAATAAAATTATTTATTTACAGAAGATGAGTAGGAAGACTGTAGAAGGGATAGAGAGGGGAACAGAACTTTCATTATGTCTTTTTATATAGCTTTGACTTGAATTATGTTGGTACTTTATATATTTCCCCAAATAAATTAATAACAATGTAGAAACAACTGAAATTGAAAGACAACAGAAACAAATGAACCTAACTGTATATCAAATAAATAACATAAACACACAGAAGAAAAAAAATCAATTCAAACAACTTTTGAGCATGGTTCTTTGTATACTCTTAGTAGGATATATTCAATGGACAAGAAGAACTTTAAAGAAATCGTAGGCTTCACTTAATGCATTTTGTGGGGAGTGGTGTTGATGTAGCAATTCTGAAACTCTTTTATTTATATGTATAAGATTTAGTAAGTGAATAAATATGCTGTTGTTGGATTCTCATTCAGGGAGAAGGGAGATATAAATATGAAATGGAAGAAGGGGAAGAACTCTGAGCTGCTGGATTGGAATTAGAGGTATTAGTATAAACTCATGATTTTTTAAAAAGTTATATCTCTTAGCTTTCTCTGCTAAGATAGCCTAGCGACAATGACACTGTGCTCATAACAATATGCACACCCAGATTCCAGATTTCGGTTTCTAAACACCCTTCTACTCTGAAAGGAACCACGGATCTTTGGAGAAATGGATGATTCCTGGACTCGGGGAGAGAAACTCCAAGATGAATCTAGAATATCCACATACTGTGCCAGAAAAGTATTGAAATACTTAAAGAATAAGAAAGACATGCCAAAGGGACAGAGAAACTGCTTTAAAGCTTTCCTATTGGTCAAATTTGGCACAATTTGTATATAAAAATGAATAATAAAAGTAAATATTACCCACTGAACACAAAAAATACACAAGACCATACTGATAGTTTTAAAAAACATTAAAGGGAGAGGAAAAAGGAAAGTCTCTTATTTATAGGAGGATGCCAAATAATAAACATAGAAGGAATGATATATATGAAATATATATAAGAAACTTTGAGACTAGGCAAATATCTTGTTCCCAACCAGTTTTTCACCCAGTGGTCTTAATGTTTGTTGGTCATTCTTATCTGTTTCCAGTTGTAAACTAATATTTTTAAAAAGCTACAATAAACATTTACATATAGATCATTGTATGCATTCAATTCTCTTAAAAGTAAATACCTAAAATCTAGATTGCTGGCTCACATTTTAAGTGTATGTTTAACTTTATAAGATATTGCAATACTATTTTATACATACTCCTGCGCTAGGATTCTAGGATCACACACTGTATTTAGTTCTTATCTCTTTAGCCTTCTAGGTATAATTCAAGAGAAGTGAGAATATATACATATATATGTGTGTGTGTGTGTGTATGTGTGTGTGTATGTGTGTATGTACATACTCAGTCTAGAAGACTTCTACAATCATGTTCAAAGCAGCACGATTTGTTGTGAACTCCAAACTGAAAACAACCCAAATGTTCACCAATAATAGAATGGATAAAGGAATTTTAGTATAGTTATAACAATGGAATACTATGCAGCAATAAAAAAAAAAAAACAGTTAGTAGCACATGTAACAATATGGACAGGTCTCACAAACAATTTTGAGTGAAAGAAGCCAAAAGGCCAAAAAAAAGAACATACTGATGATTCCATTTATATAAAGTTCAAATATAGGCAAATGAGAATATAGTGAAAGAAGTCAGAAAAGTGGTTCCCTGTGGGAGTGGTGACTGAGATGGGTACATGAGAGGCTTCTGAGATGTGATGATGCTCTAAATCTTTATCTAAGTGATGTTTACTTGGATGAGCTCACTTTGTAAAAACCTATCCAGCTGTACATTTATGATGAATGTACCTCACTGTACGTTTGTTTTACTCCAGTAAAAAAAATTTTAAGCATAAACGTAACCCTGATTCCAAAACTGAGCAAAAAAAGAAAAAAAAAAAAAAGCTTTCTGAACTAATTTTAAATCTCAGTTTTCAGAAATCACTCTTACTTTCTGACTTCCCAAGATTTTGGGGAAAACTTCCCTGTAACCAAACCAACTTGTCTTAATGACAATAGTTGGGATGGAAAATGTACAGGGAAGAAGGCACTTGGAGGTTCTGTGTTGGGTGACATTGGCACACCCTCTATGAAAAGAAGTTTGACAATACACATCAAGAGAATTAAAAAGAAATATATACTATTTTATCCACTAATTTCTCTCCAGGAATTTATCCTAAATCAACGACTCAGTCAAATACATATGAACAATGATATAAAGCTATACATGAAAAAAATTTTTTTAGAGAAGAAAATCCTTTGAAGGTAATACTTACAATTGGCGTCCCAAAAGGAATGTAACCTGTGAGAGGAGAGAGCAAAGAGTCAGGTCTTAGAATCCCACCCACCTCTCAGGTAAGATACCGAAAGAGACTTCTGGGCTTGGTCTTGACAGTGGCTCCGATGAAGGGGCTCAGATCAGTTGGGCAAGAGGCACCTCCAGCCTCCCCAGACCTTCTCCCAGCTTAGCTCTCCTCAAGGCAGAGGGATCTCCTGGGGCCCCCAGCCTCCCTCCCTGTTCCTCTTTAACAAGACAGTTCTCACTCTCCTCCAAAGCCCAGAGGCTCATTCCTGAAAGCAGGGCTGCCCACTGCTGGGGCACCACCACTCTACATTTGGGGGTCCTCTCATGATATCCTCCATGAGGCACAATGCCCCTGCTCACACTCACGACACACACTACAATGTCTTCAAAGGCCCCGAATGTCCTCCTCTTCCCTCAGCTTGTCTTACCTCCCCAGCATCATGACCATAACTGGAAAGAAAATTCCTTCTCCACCTGAGATGTGTACCTCTAAGTGCCAGAGCTTTTTAAATCTCTAGTACCCTGGCTAGACATCCTCAGAAGAGCTGAGCGGGGCTGAACAGAGCTGGCGTGAAGTGCAGCCCAGCCCTGAGCACCACTTCCTCACTGCTCATGGCCCCCACCCTATGGCGAGTCTCCCTCTGCCATCCCCACAACTGTCAATGGGCAGCCTCCTGTCTCCAACCTCTAACATATGGCAACTGCAAATCACGCTTATCTGAGGTTCACGTCCGAGGGTGTGTAATTGTGCATGCCCGTGAGCCATCACTCTTCTACCCTCATCCTCTGGAGAGAGGTCCAAAGTTTGGAGAATTACAAGGGAAGCCAGGCTCAGGGCGAGAGGCTGCTATGGCCTATCAGGGACTGGGGAGCATCCACAGTCGTGGCTACAAGATGCTGGGAGCCTTCACTGCCTTGGAGCTCCTCATGGCAAAGCAAGGGGGTTGCTGGGCACTAACTGCCCAGTTTGCACAAAGATGGCGTGTGGTTATTTATTCTCTCACCTCTATGAGATCAGTTTCTCTGGGGATGGGGACCCTGGCTGACCTACCTGACTGAGAACACTCACTGGTAGAAACCCTTTCTCCAGCTGCCTGAGGACTTCTCAAGGTAGCAGCCAGGAGTCCTCTTACCTACCTTGTAACTTGGGGGTAGTCCACCCCATTGCACTGAGAAACAGCATGGAGGAGGCATCAGCACAGGTGTGCATTTGACCTCTGCTATATGACTCTAGGCAAGGCCTATGGTCCCTCAGGATAACCATGCCAGCCCAGCCAGTGTGTATACAAGCGCTTTCTAGGCCAGTAAGCTCATATGTACAGAACTGTCCCACTAGTGACCACAGGGTGGGGTTTTCCTTGGAGCAGGGATCTTACACCCACTCTCTCACTCTCCCCTCTGCCAACTGGTCTCCACAGAATGGGACTTTGCCATCCCCATGTGCTCACTAGGGCAAATGAAAGGCAGATAATCTGAAGAGCAGATTATAGCAGGATCCAAGACGAGGGAGTTACTCTGGGGATTAACTGCCTGAAAGGGCTGAGCAGGGAGCAGGGCCTGGAAGGAAAGTGCAAAGTGCACAGGTGGGAGAGGAGTGACTCCCAGAAGGCAGGGCTTGCCCATAGCAACTGTAACCCCTGACGCAGCTACTAAGTGAATGGTGTGTAACCTGGGGGCGGGAGCACAGGCAGTGACCTGCAGAGGCCTCCACTCCACCCTAGCGGCTCAGAAAAGGCAGACACAAATCATTGACTAAAAGCTCCACAAGTAATTCTGAGGCCTGGCCAGAGTTTGCCCAGTTGAGCCAAGGTAAACATGCAGATGCAAGTGTGGCCATGTGTGTAACAGGCTCCATCCCCTCCTCAGGCCAGCACATCTGGACGTTCCAAGAGCTGTGACCATAGTAACTGGCTCAAGTTGGGCAGAAGCAGAAGGTCCCAGGGGCTTACCTGACATTCTAAATGGCATGAAGATCTTCTCATTGGTGTCCGGGTGTAGAATAGCCTGGCAAGAGCCGGGAACAGAGCACAGGGTGACAGTAGGAGAGGGACGGGGGAGAGAGAGAAGCAGAAAAGAGAGCTCTCCCAGGACGACTCAGATGACCAGTGGCTGAATCTGGCCTCTGGCTAGTCAGTCTTTTCCTACCATTCAGGGCAAAAGACAACCAAAACATGGGCCCCACACAGCACTTATCCCCTGACTAATGCTCAAACTGAAAGCAGGGGAGGGAGGGACTGTGTCTACCTTGCAGGCCCTCTGAACCCCCACACCTGGCTATAAGGATTGCATGGAAGGAGCTATAGGGAAGGGGCTCAGGGGTCCCAGGGAAAGGGGAGCTGTCCTGAGCTCTAGTATTCAGAAACTCAGGCTCTGGGTGCTGAGGGAGAAGGAATGGGCGAGGCAGCCAGAGACAAAGGGGAAAGGAGAGGCTGGGCACACAGCGGCCAAAGATCACCCAGGACAGGGCAGGGCAGGGTCCAGGAGAACACGAAGGAGGGAAAGAAAGGAAGACCAAATTGGATTACCTGCTTGATTTTCTGTGCACTCCAGAGCTGGAAGGAAGGGCAAGAGAAAAAAATGAAAAAATAAAATAATAAATAAAGCACACATCAATTTAAGGTCTCAAAGTCACATTTTCTAACCTAGAGATCCAGCTCCAAAAGGCATAAGAGGCTCAGGCTGTCCTGGTTACCCCAGGTCTGGCAGCTACTCTGGAGGGTATGTCATCAGAGACACCCCAGGACATTAAATGCAGATCATTTAAACCAAAGGTTCTCAACTCTGGCTGCTGTGACATTACTCGAAGAATTCTTCAAGCATTTTTCTAAAGCTTCCTAGCTGATTCTAAGGTACAGCCAAGTAAGAAGCCCTGATTTAAATGAAGGTCCTTCAACTGTCTCCCACAATCACTAGAATCACTAGAGACAGCATAACATGATTTTTTTCAGAGCTAAACCGACTGCCTGGATTCCTGGTTTTCTCCCTTCTGCCTCTGAGCCTCAATTTCCTCGTTTTTAGAATGGGGATAATAGCTGTGCCTCTAAAGTTGTTGAGGTATATGAAAAGTGCCTGGAGTAGTGCTGGGCACATAGTAAGTGCTTTATCACTGGTTGTTGTTGTAGATATTATTATTCCTATAGTTGTTATTGTAAGTGGGTTGTAGGGAGGAGAAAGTTGCTTTCAAACGAGTGGTGAAACTGTCTTCTTCCAGCACAGTGTGGGGGACAGGCTGGAGAAACAGAACAGTCTGTCGATTCCTTCAAATGATATATAAGTACTGTATTTCATTGAATCTAAAGCATCATTCATCTCAAGACACACTGTTATGTGCCACTAAGAAAAAAAACGATGACATAATGCCAAGACCAGCATCAATAAAAAGACTCATCCCATTTAAGAAATGTTAAAATATGATAAAATAGGCCTTTTAAAATTTAAAAAAAAAAAAAACATGGTAAATAAAAATTTACATTGTGGGCAAATCAGAAGCCAATGCATTTTTAACGGCGCAAGAAGGATAGGAGGTGAGAGGGAAGATGTGGCTAGGAGTTGATGTTTAAAGTTTTATAATAGAAAAGTTCACTTATGCTTCATTTAAGTGGCGATGTATTGTCTGGAATGTAAATTAGGCTACAGAAGGCTACTGGGTAGCAAAAATAGAAGTTATAAAATTGATATATTAAAGTTTATGCATTTTACTCACAGCAGAGTCCCCCAAGCCTTAATTCACAGCCTAATTACTCTTATTTTAGATACATTTCAAACATATTTGATTGTCTGCTATTCCAGGAAGGATTGGAAGCAGTAGATTTAAAAATAATAATAATTGGGGAACAGAAGGGACTAAAGAAAGAAAAACCAAATGCAGGATCATTTGGAGATAAATGAGCATATAGCAAAGACACACACACACAAAATTATAAAAGGCCGACCCTTCTTTGCTCAGAAGGTATCTTCCTGAAGTGCATCCCCCAAATCCCAGCACTGTATTAGGTGTGTGTGTGTGACCCCAGGACTGTGCACAGACTCGTGATACCTCACTCTCTCCACCCCAAATCAGAACCTCCTATTTCTGGAGTATGAATCCCTCACCCTGTGGATTCCCAGTTCAGTTCCTCAGAGGCAGAGGCTAGCCTTTCCACACTGTTCCCTAGCATTTCCCACAGCACTGTGCACACAGCAAATCTAAAGTTATTCTAAAATTAAAATTTTTATTTAAAAAAAACTTAAGATTTCTTCACGCAATTCTTTTAAAAAATTCTCCATGGTTCTGATGAACAGCTTGGGCAGAAAACATGGGTCTAAGACACTGAAGGACAGTATAAAAAGCAGGTGTTAGAACCAGGCAGGTCTATGTTCAAATTGCTTGTTGGTGGTGTGGCCCTGGGCAAATTACAATGCCTCTGTGCCTCAGTTTTTCCATCGGTAAAACGGGCTGTTAAAAGGGTGGGGCAGAGACTATACTTGGTGCTCCCCAGCAGCTTGCATTTCCCTTTGGGCATACAGCTAAACCTACACTTCCCCGCCTCCCCCACAGTCAGGCCAGCCGCTCATGTGACTAGGTGCTGGCTAATGGACTGTGGGAGGAAATGATGGTTTCTACTTCCAGGCCTGGCCCCAAAGCCTTCCACAGAGAATCTAGTGGAGGACAGTGAGGCCCTAGGAGACAGTAAAGCTGTGAGGTGGAAGGAACTTGGTCCCTAAACAGTGGCACGCGCCAAGTCCTTGAGCTGCACTGGACTCTGACCTGAGTGAGAAATACACCTGACTGTAGAAGTCCCTGAAATCTGGGGGTTGTAAGCACTTAGCTTACCCTGACTAATACAGAGGTTTAAATGAGATATGCATATCTAAAATACTTGGCCCATAGAACATGCTCTATAAATGCCTAAAATAGAGATACAGTCATTCAAATAAGCAATATTTTAAAGCATGTAATTATTATTTTTTTCTTTTTTCATCTTTTTTTAAAATTTAGTTTCAAGTATATAATACATTGGTTAGGCATCTATCTAGATCATAAAATGATCCCCTCAATTGCTCCCTCCCTCCCATGACCCTTCACCTAGCCAACGTATTAATGCTAATGTAATTATTTTTTAAAGTAACTTCACCCCTATTGTCTTATTCCTGCAGCATGCCTGTGAGGTGGGTAGATTATTTTCAGACAAGGTAACTAACTCATCTCAGAGAGACTAAGTGACTCAGCCAGGGACCCAGGGGCCTGGTGGTAGGATGGACATGGGCACCCAGGCTCCCTGCTCTTCAGGGGCCCCCTGGAGGAGACTGAAGTCCAGTCTGGCCAAGGTGATTGCCAGGTCTTAGGCACAAGAGGAAGAGGAGGATTGACATCATTCTGAGGGCCCAGAACCTTCTTGCAGTCTGGTAACTGATGCTCCTCACCAGTACCTATTCCTCCCCTCCTGCCGAAGTTCAGCCAAGCAGCACTTGTAATCCAGGACAGTATCTGTGTCGCTTAGGTTCAAAGACTGCCTCCTCTGCCTCTACCCAGGGAGCAGCAATGGAGAGTCAGCACATGTAGGCTCACCAGCAAAGGCAGAAGTT